CGGGCCCGGGCTGGGGATTCGAACCTGCCACCTTAGGTGTATGTGGCTGGCGCCTTAGCCGCTTGAGCCACAGGCGCCGAGCCCAAAGTTCTTTCTTTTATTGAGACAGAGTCTCAAGCTGTCGCCATGGGTAGAGGGCCATGGTGTCACAGCTCACAGCAACCTCAGACTCTTGGGTTCAAGTGATTCTCCTGCCTCAGCCTCCCAAGTAGCTGGAACCACAGGTGCCCACCATAACGACTGGCTATTTTTGTTGTTGTTGCTGCAGTTGTCATTATTGTTTTAGCAGGCCCCGGCTTGGTTCAAACTCGCCAGTCCCAGTGTATGTGGCTAGGGCCCTACCTACTAAGCAAAAGGCACTGCCGATCAAAGCTCTTTTGTATCAGTTACTTAATAGCTGGTTCTCACAAGACTTTATAGGTAAGTAGGGCATTCCTGCTTTCATCTTATATATAAACCCAGGCCCAGAGAAGTAATGTGGATTGACCAATGTAGAATGTGACAACTGAGACTTTTTACCATACCATATCACCAAGTAAACTGAAAAGTAAAAAAAACAAATAAAAAACCCTGAAAAGTAAATATTATAAACAATCTCTTGATAATATAGACAACAATAACGTCTCCAATTTAAATAAATTCAATAATTAAATAATTAAATTCTGGCCCTGGGAAAATTATACACCAAAAGACACAGATTATTTGGGGGACGATTTTCCTTTTATTCTCAGGCTTTCATACTTAACTAATACACACACAACCTTGATTCAAAAGTATTATAAACACTACTTTATCCCATACTTTAAAATATAAGTTTTAAGGTTTTATTTTTGTTAAAGATAAGTTGAACTTGTTCTATATAATTTAGTTCAATAATTATAGTTACAAGACAATTAGAAATCAAGGAAGTGGCTCGGCACCTGTAGCTCAAGCAGCTAAGGTGCCAGCCACATACACTACAGCTGCCAGGTTCGAATCCAGCTTGGGCCTGCCAAACAACAATGACGGCTACAACCAAAACGTAGCCAGGTGTTGTGGTGGGCACCTATGGTCCCAGCTTCTTGGGAGGCTGAGGCAAGAGAATCACATAAGCCCAGGAGCTGGAAGTTGCTGTAAGCTGTAATGCCACAGCACTCTACCCAGGGCAACAGGTTGAGGTTCTGTCTCAAAAAAAGAAAGAAAGAAATCAAGGAGGAAAGCAAAAGGCTAACTTCTCTAAATAAAAAAAGCACTCTATCAAATGAGTAAATATATAAACAAAACCCAATCTAATCAAAACAAAGTCTGAGAATATGAAAGGACAATTCAGAGAGAAGGTTATTACAAGTGTCCAATATACTCATGAAAAGATGTGCAACCTAACACAAGAGAGGAAAGGAAAAAACTTTTTTTTTTGAGACAAGAGTCTCACTATGTAGCCCTGGGTAGAGTTTCATGGCATCACAGCTCATAGCAACCTCCAACTCTTGGGTTTAAGCGATTCTGTTGCCTCAGAGTCCCAAGCAGCTGGAACTACAGGTGCCTGCCACAACACCCAGCTATTTTTTGTTATAGTTGTTATTTTTGTCTAGCTAGCCTTGGCCGGGTTTGAACCCACCAGCCTTCATGTATGTGGCTGGTGCTGTAACCACTGTGCTACAGGAACTAAGCCAAGGAAAGGACAATTTTTTTTTTTTTTGGAGACAGAGTTTTGGGCTGTTGCCCTGGGTAGAGTGCCGTGACATCACAGCTCACAGCAACCTCAAACTCTTGGGCTTAAGCGATTCTCTTGCCTCAGCTTCCCAAATAGCTGGGACTACAGGCACCAGCCACAATGCCCAGTTATTTTTTTGGTTGTAATTGTCATTGTTTTTTGGCAGGCCTGGGCTGGATTCCAACCCACCAACTCTAGTGTACATGGCTGGCACTCTAGCCGCTGAGCTACAGGCACCAAATCCAGGAA